ATAAATGTTCCATTTTATCAGATGCCTGCCTTTTCTCCACTCAGCTCTTTGCAATCTGGGACCAGCTGTCATCCAACTTCTCGGTGCTGTAGGCAGTGACATTGGTCCCAACATCAGAAAAAAAATACCATATCATCTTAGATCAACACACAGTTATGAGGTCATAGGTTTTCCAGTAAAAAGGGCTCCCTTCATCTGTCATTGATGAAAAGAAACAGCAGGCGCCTTTCAAAAATGTTTTGCTTCAGCTCACTCCCAGTACCCCAGGAGAGGTGATTCTTCCATTAACCTGTTAGCTGATGTGGTCAAAGAAATTATCTTTGATTAGCTGCCTAATCTCAGATCTTAGGTAACTGGATTGGGGCACAGAGCAGTAGCTCTGAGGTATAAAACTGAGGATTCTTTTCCTTGGGAGTCCATCATATTGCTTGACTATCTGTCCACCAGCTTAGCAATCCTAAGAGCATCTCTGCTACTCTCTTGGTGTCTGACAGAGGGATAGGGCTTGCCTTTCCCACTTTTCTAAATAAAGCCTGAGTTTGACTTCCTGATACCTGACACAACACAGTCCCCTTCATCCTTTTACCTATCACCTGCATTTTATCTGTTATATCGAAGGATGTACCCCAAAATGTTTATTTGAACTTAAAGTGTTTTTATTTGTATCACTATCAGTGACATTTTGTTAACATGTCTCATTATCATTGGGGTGGGTTTTATTGTGGCTTTTATTTGTGCCTAGGTTATATTGTAGCTTTTCTGTGGCTTCTTTTTTTTTAAACACTGTAATAACATTTTCATATCTAACTGTATATATACAGTATCTCTCCATCTGGCAGGTGTTGATAGTTACTGTGACTGGATTTAAGTAAGATGAACTTAATTAAAAAGTATTTGATTAATTTTATTAGGATATTGATTAGGGTACTACACTGTACCATATTGAAAAGTATGTAAGCTATGGAGTCAGATAGTTGTAGTTGACACATTCTACTTAGTTATGTGACTTTGAGATAATTATGTAGTCTTTCAGTGTATGCAGTTTCTAGAACTCAGTCTCTGTTAACTTTCTTTATGATGAAAATGAGGGGGTTTTAGTGTGAATATATGTAAATTTCCTAAACTCCACTGGCTCATAGGAAACTATTTAGGCATGTGGAATGGATGAAATAATCCACTTTACAGTGTTTCAGGATTGCCAGTTGATAGAGCTTTTGCAGTGTTGTCATTTCCGCCATCCACGCAGTTTACCTTCATCAATCCACGCGGGAGAAACAGTAGCAAACACTGCATAATCTATCACTGTTGCATTTTACCAAAATTCTAAACCAAAAATATGTATTTTGAGCTACATAGTTGCTCATCTTAAAATGCTGGATTATAAACTGTTAGAAATCAGTACGGTTAAACAACCATTTTCATTTGCAGTGGATTCAGCATAGAATTATCTTTGAGACTGGAAAGGATATGCTTGTGAATGCCAAGTGAAGTAGCCTAATTTAACCCAACGCTTGTAAGCACAGGCTTGTGTAGTCCTTATAAACTTATAGCATTTTGTACCTTTAACCAGGTGGCTGGGGCAGGAGTGTCCCACATCAATCCTAAGGCATTCAACCCGTGGACATTAGTTTTATTTGGCCTGCTTGAAGTCTCTTTTCAGGAAGGACCATGGTGCCTCCTGGGAGACGACTGATTCTAGGGAAAGAGGGACTATGTTTAGCCAATGGAACTAGAATCGGAAGGGAGGAGTGATTTCAAGTATCTGGAACTTATTTTCTTTAGCAGCTCACACCCTAGATACTGGGCAGGGAGCGGGAGGTGGGCAGAGAGGAAGTGTGGATTGCTTGCCAATAACAAGAATTATGGACAGAAAATAGAAATGGTGGTTTCATTTTCAAAACATTTAAGACTTGAGAGCAAAAGTAATGTGGACTTGATACTATTTGGAAAGGTCACATCTAACTGAAGGCTGGATAGAAAGAGGTCACCCTCTTGCACAGAGCCTGCAGGCCACAGACACGAGGACAATGGTTGCATCCACTGCAGATTTGAGGAGCCCATCAAAAATGGCAGCCATCACTTGAAGAAGTGACTCTTCAGCAGACAGAGGAAGCAGAGAGGCCCAAGCTGGCAGCCAAGAGCTGATAGTTGGTACCATGGAAAATGACCAGTATATGAGAGGAAATGGATTGTGGCAGGTAGTCCTACATCTGGACTCACCTGTATATCTGCCCCAGAACTTCCAGAAATACTATCAGAGAGAACCTAGTGAGGGTATTGAAGCTAGCATTATGGATCATGGAGCATTATGGCCTGCCCACTCTGCTCTGTGAGAATGAACACCATCTTGGGAAGCAGCCAGACATAGGTCACTCAGCTCTTAGTTTGAAAATGCACCCATGCTGGTGAGTCCAAGGGAGGTATTTTGGGGACATTTTGGAAGACGAAAGACATTTGATAGAAGGAAAGGTGCTACCTCATAGAACCACTTAGCTGCACACTTTGAATTTAAGTGGAATTTGTATTCATTCATTCATTTATTGTGGTGCTATGTATCAAACCCAGGACTTTGCACTGCTGGACAAGTGCTGTCCACTCAGCTCATCCCTTCCCATTTTAAGTGGAACTTAAAGTAATAGTGTTCTCAGTCTTTTTTAGCCTTGAATAATATACAGAATGCTTTTTAAAACTATGTGGCAGGGTCAAGAATATAGCTCAGTGACACAAGTGCTTGCCTAGCAAACATAAGGTCTTGAGTTGGACTGTCAGTTCCAAAAAATAAAAATAAAAGTAAAAATAAATTTAAAAATATGGGATGAGTACATGTAAACAAAATCAGTTCTGAACTACATGTAATCATACTTTTGTGTAACCAGAAACAGTCCATGTGTAAGTGTAAAAAGACCTGTACATTAAATAGAGATTAAATTAATGATATAAATTATTGATTCTGATTTGCTTAAATGAATCACTCTGCAAGGCGGAATGTGGTTGGATCCACACAGTTTTTGCATTGAGAAAGCTTGTGCTGTCTGCACTGCTGGCTGCTCTGTGCCTCCCACTCCTCTTCATTTCATTGCTGAAAGCAGAAACATTCTTATGGGAAACCTGTCCTTGATTTGCTTAAATTGGAGAACTTGCTTCTTTGGTACTTGGCAGGGAGAAATTGCAATCTTTGTAAGAGGCGGCTTGGAGTCCCAGCACTTGAAAGTTATTCAGGATACAGACTGTGTTGAGAAGCAAGTTCGCTATGAAAGCCCAGATGTTTTTGTCTGCAAAATGAGTGATTTGCTGATGTCTCCCAGTGAACTTGTGTGGCTCACTAATATTGCATCACCACACAAAGTTTCCAAAAATTCTTTGAGCCTCAAGAAAAAGCATCTTCTCATAAAATCTTTCCACTTGGCTGTGTGCACTTTTCCTTGGACTTAACGAAAAGAGACAAAGATAAGGAGGGATTCCAACTCTTTATGCAGCTCATGCTGAAATCACCCCAGTTACTGTAGTTCAAGAGGGTGTGTAGTCACATGCCTGTCTATGCCTTGTGGTCTTTAGGCTGCACAGAGTTCATCATCTGCTCTTTCTGTACCCCATTGTCACATAGGGCATCTAATACTATCCTCTCCACCAAACCTTTCCCTTCTAAGAGGATATAGCATTGCCCAATTCTGGGAATAAAACAACTCTTTTTTCCTTCCTTCCTTCCTTCTTTCCTTCCTTCCTTCCTTCCTTCTTTCCTTCCTTCCTTCCTTCCTTCTTTCCTTCCTTCCTTCCTCCCTCCCTCCCTTCATTCTTCCTTCCCTTTCTGTCTCTGTCTCTGTGTCTGTATCTCTCTCTCTGTCTCTTTGTCTCTCTCTGTCTCTCTCTGTCTGTCTCTGTCTCTGTCTCTCTCTCTGTCTGTCTCTGTCTGTCTGTCTCTCTCTCTCTCTCTCTCTCTCTCTCTCTCCCTCTCTCTCTCTTTCTCTTGTCTTCTGTCTTTTCCTAGAGAAATATGACTTGCATCAGAGGCTCATTTCCATGACCCTGGCTCTAATCCTGAGGATCCTATTGAGGTGACTTCTTTGCTCTTTTACAGTTTGCTTTGTTTTTGAGTGCAGACGTGCTACGAGCCTCGGGGAGCCAGCTGCAGGCTTGAGGTGGCTGTTTGCCTCCCTGCCCTTATCCTTGTCCTCTCCTTTTCAGTGTGCCACTTCATGCCTGTTCCTCATGCCCTTACTGTACTCCATGCCTTTTCTAGCCATGGCCACAACCTCCAGCCACCCCTTCAGTTGTTCTTTGCTGCTCTCTGTTCTCTTTCTGTTCAGATTTTCCCCTTTCACCAGTGTTTCTGGGGTCTTGATTGAAAGAGTTCAGCTCTTACTCTGCTGAGCCTGCTAAAACAAAATGCACAAGCGTCATGGTTTATAAACAATAGAAAGTGATTTCCCACAGTTCTGAGAATCTGGGAAGTCGAGGATCAAGGTGTTGGAAGATTCAGTGTGTTTGTGAGGGTTGCCTCCTGTTTCACGACTGTGTCTTCATAGAGTAGATGAGAAGAACTCTGCTCTTCAGTTTCATCCAAGAGTGCTCATCCCATGCACAAAGGCACCCTTCTAATGTTACTGCTTTTTGGGCTGGGGCTTAATACATGTCTTTTTGTGGAGAGGACACAGACAGTGGTCGTCCAATCAAAGCCATCTCTTTTCTTTGTTCTCAGTGGATTATAGATGAATCTCAGTTGGTCAGAGATCATTTGGGGACATTTTTCTCAGACTCAGAACAACACAAGCACAGAGCACGCTGTTATGGTGTCAAGGGTGAGTCTATGCTCCAGAGAGCACTGTGGTGACAGAGGGAGCAGTCCTGGATTCTGCACCTTTTTGCAGAGAAAGCTGCCTCAGTCCTCTGAAAATGCAGGCACAAAGCTTCAGCAACTTCCCTGGAGACCAGGACAGGGGTCACTAAGAAGCATCTCTTCTTTCTTATGTCCTGCCTTCCCTTTTGTTTGTCACCATGAACAGGACTCTCCTTCAGCAACTTCAGAAGCTTCAGACTTTGGTGATGGGCAAGGTTTCTCGGACCTGCAAGCTGGCTGGTACACAAACTGGCACCTGCCTCATGGTGAGTTTCCCAGAGAGACAGTGCAGGAACTGTCTCTGACCTGTCCCGTCTTCTGGCTCTCCCCTTTTGCTAAGGCCAGTGCAGTGCAGCGGGAGAGACCATGTAGCCTGCTCTGGGGCTGTCCCCTTTCATGTCATTACCATGATGTGACCAGAGGATGCGTCTGCCTCCTTCTCAGGCTGTGGATTTGCTCTGTGGAGATTGCTTGTAATCTACAGCACTCATGTTCTCTCCTCCTCCAGGTTGTTGTGTTGTGCTTTGCTGTTGCCTTCGGCAGCTTATTTCAGGGCTATGGGCCCTATTCTTCTGCCACCAAGATGGCTTTGCCCAGCCAGCAATCCCTGCCGGAGCCGTACACAGCCTCTGTTGGTAAGACTCACTCAGCCAATTGGGAAGTGTCTTGTTGCTTTTCTTTTTCTTTCTTATTTTCCAGACTTTCTGAAGACAATCTTATGTGAAAGTCTGGTTTTTAAAAATCAGAGTTCCTCCACTTGTCCCAGCTGTGCTTAGGCAGCACTAAAATTCTCCAGAGTTCTGCAGAGCATAATTTACAAACTGATGCTGCAGACCTTGTTCTCTGATGAGTTCTGACATCCCCTTTTTGAGTTCTGATGAGGGGGCAGGATGTCAATGTTAGGGAGTAGGCAGAATGTAGAGAACACTAAGCCTTCTGTGACATTTCCAGGGAGCTCCTGTGTTCCTCCCTGTGGAACTGTATGCTACCGCACTGAAAGTCTGTAAACTGAAATTAAAGAATAAGTCTGTACAAAACAGTATAGCCAAGATTTAGAGAATTTAGAGACTCCAGTGTTTGTAAGAAGTGTGTAGTATTCTCACCCAGACTAGTGATCAAAGCATGTAGGAAATAAACGAGTGACAAGTAAGCACATGGGTATATACTTGTGCACATAAAACCACACATAGAGCCAAGAGGTGCTGAATAAGGATGATTTTGCCAATCTGCAATGCCAGGTGCATCCCTGCCTGGTGAAAAACAAGAGGGCTAGGGTTCCATTTAGATCATTTCAGTGACCTGTTGGGAAACTTTTTTTTCCCCCTAAGGGAATATCTCTCTGAATGTTGGAAGCTAATGGGAACATAGTTTCTATGTCGAGGAAAAATTGCTACAGAGCCATCTAGCTATGTGACTGTCCTGTAAAGCAGAAGAGATTGTCTCCATCCTCTGATTTATAGCTTGGCTTTGCCTCTCTCCAGATTCTAAATGAAAGTGCTCTTGTTCCTTTTCTCCCTCCGTACAAGACCTGCTCACTGGGGATGCTTCTCATAGTTGGGTCTGGACATCTCCAAGAATTCGACTCCCGTTTTCCATGCATTGTTTTCCCTAGATGCTTATGGGTGGGTAAGGAGGGGACTTTTATTTTCAAAGCAGTGGGGGTGGTAGTTGGCTTCGTGTTTATTTGCTTTTCTCTTGTTCTTCCAGCACTGTATAATTGGTATAATTTTTCAGTGCACAAACTCTGAAGTCTTTACAGAAAGCCAGATCCAGTTGGCACTCTCATTCCTGGGCAACAAGAACATGCCAGTTGTTATTTACCACCAGCCCTGGGCATTTTAGTAAGGGATGTATGCACAAGAAAACATGTAATGAAGGCTCCCATGGCCTTTGGCTAACACCCTGTTGCTTTGGTCTGTCCCCAGTGAGATCTAGGAACCTGCTGATCTATGAGGAACATTCTCCCCTGGAGGAACCATCCAGCCCAGCCTCCACTGGGGAGCTTGGGGGCTGGGAGCGAGGCTCCTCTTTGCTCCGAGCATCAGGGCTGGAGTCCCTGCCTGATGTGAATCTTCCCCATTTCATTATCTCCAACGAGACCAGCCTGGAGAAGTCAGTGCTTCTGGAGTTGCAGCAGCACCTGTGAGTCTCATACATGCGGATCCAGCTCCTTGGTGTGAGGGTGAAGGGTATGACTCGCCAATCTGGCATGGAGTGTCAACTCTGCCAGAGGCAACCGGCACTTCCTCCTCTCTTGGGACCTATTTCCAAGGCTTGGCACTGGAGAGAATGTGCTGCTGGCCAACAGCTGCCCCAAGCAGGGAAGAGGCCCAACTGATCTTCCCCATCACCTGCAGCAGCAGGTGGGGGTTGGCAGTAGTGGTCCCAAGGCAAGGGGGAAGGGCTTGAACTCCAAATCTCCCCTTCTCTATCTCCATCATCATCTCAAAGCCAGGAAGTGAACACTCAGCCAGGGCAGCAGCAGAGCGCTTGCTGTCAGGATGTACTTTCTCTTGCACCCTTTTAACTGGAGAGTAAATGAATGCCATGCTACCCCTGTAGGTTCATGATTTGTATGTCAACTCACACGTATCCACAGTGACTACAGGTGAAGTATTCTTTATCTGGAATGCTTAGGATCAGAAATATCTTGCATTTCAAAGTTTGGAGCATTTGTATAGACATAATACCAAATCTTAGTCTGAGCACAGAGTTCATGTTTTCCACATGCATACGCTCACAGCCTGAAGACAGTTCCTTCCATATAATGTTTGTTGTGTGCCTGTCTTTGGTCTGTGCTCTGCCACAGGAGGTCAGGTGTGGTGGAATTTTCTACTTGTGGTACTACAGTGGCACAGAAAGTTCTGAGTTTTTTTTTTTTTTTTTTTTTTTTTTTTTTGTCTTTTTCCTTTTTTATCGGTACCGGGGATCAAACTCACGACTGCCTTTTATAAGACAGGTGCTTATGCCACTGAGCTAAATCTCCAGCCCCTAAAAGCTCTGGATCTTGGGGCATTTCAGAGTTTGGATTTTCAGATTAAGACTACCCCACCTGCATACACTTATATGTTGATAGTGAGGGACCATGTTTGAGAAGCACTGTGGATGCATATGGAGAATCTTTTCCCATATAGGAAGTAAACTGGGTTTGATTCCAGTTCTCCAAGAGTGGTTTCTCTTAGATAATTATGGGGAAGTAATCTGCTTGTAAATATAAAGCTGACAGGACCACAGGGTTTTGTTCCTGTGAGAGAAGAGGCTGTTGGCAGCCCAGGAAAAAGGACTGTACACACTTTTCTGGTGATGTGTGTATGGTTGGTGATTGCCTTCAGGCTTCCTAGGAATGAGGCTGTTCCCCTACTGGGAAGGATTGCATTCCAGATTCTTCCCCTAACCCTGTGTGGGAAGAATTTGTATATTCTTGTATGTACATTTAGCATTGACTAATGCTTACTTATTAAGCACTTACAAATGTGCTATCATACGAACCCAGTAAACTACCCAGAGGTACGGAATTGCTTTTATTCCGATTGTGGGGAAAACCCAGAGCCACCACTAGACACCTCTTAAACCTGCTGATTAGTTGTTTGAGAACATAAACCTCCCTCTTGGCCCCAGATCTGGGTGGCCTGGAGGCTTTACAGACTTTGACGCAATTTTGATTATGTATTTATTTTCCATGATATGTTGTTATTTCAAATTAATTCATTTGAAAAGGATCTTTATCTGGATTATTAGCTCTTCTAGAACAGAGATCAGTCTCATCCTTTTTATTTTCTGATTTCCAAAATTTAGCCCAGGGTTAAGCATCTTTCTTTAGTTGATTGATTTTTTTTAAAAAAAGGAGAGGGGAGAGAATGAGTAAAATGGAATTAAGATATATTATGTACAGGTACAGATTCCCCATGATGAATATGGTCATTATGTGTAGCAAACACATGCTAATAAAAACATTAACTAGTTTTAAAAATAAACACGAGTACCAGATCTCCCATTAGTACCAGATGTCCTCCTGGGTGGAAGACAAAGGGGAGACTGGCAGAGACTTGGGGAGGAGAGAGTGAGTGCCAGAGTTAGTAGTAAGAATGAAAAGGACAAGAAGTCAGCCTGGCAAGGCCATGCGGCTGCGGCCTCAGAGCAAGGGTATCCTGCTGTGCGACAGGAGAGCTGTAGCTGATGCTTTGTGGCTAACACTTCTTTCTCCTCCTCGTACCTTCCAGGGCCAGCGCCAAACTGGAGGGGAACGAAACACTCAAAGTCATAGAGCTCGACAGAAGAGTGAACACCACCTTCTAGGAGGCGTCTCCAGGCCCTCTCTCCTCTTACCTCTACTTATCTCCTAACCACCATGGTCATCAGCTTTTCCTCTTTGCCACTGGATCTGGATGAAGACCTGGATGAGCCCTTGTGGCTGGCATGAGAGGCACTGGTGGTTTCCACCAGCCTGCCTCTCTCCCCTTCTCTTGCTGTCATAGGAAGTTCTTTTAGGAGGAGAATGGGATGGGACCAGCAGGTTCATTTCCACCCGTAGTGCCAAAAAGATACTGCCTGACTCTCCCCTGCAAGGTGCGACCCTGCTACGAAAAGAGATGATACTTACACAACTGAGACCCCAGACTCTAGCCACAGAATGCCATGGTGCCTGTTGGGATTTGACCAAGCACTGACTCTTGTCCATCCCACTCCTGCCAGGCCTCCCATGTGAATGCCCCAGAGCCCTGGGAGCACCCAGGTATCATAGGAGCCCCCTCCCATCGCTCCACCTTCTGGAGCCTGGGCTGGCCAGTCCCCAGCCACGGAGTGGGTAGACAGGGCTCCTCGTTGTATTCTCAGGCCGCACGTGCAATGCCTAAAAGCATCAGGCTGGTCTCCTCCAGGCGAACCTGCCCATCTTTATGCTTGTAGGGCCTCACCCCACCATCAGCCTGCAGACCTATAGTCCTCCCTCCCTGCTTCCCCTCTCCATTTGTAAATAGTATTTATTAGCTTGCTGAGGCTTCCTATTGGCAACCACCCCGAAATCAGTCCGTGCCTCTCCCGATGCTAATGAAGTCTTCTGTGGCCTTTGGAATTAGGAGGCCTCTCTGTAGGCACTGGGATTCCCAATATTTCCAGATAATGTTTTATTCCCTTCCTTGAGTTTTTTAATTGGAGGCCTATGTAATAATTATGATTGAGAGACCACATTAGCAGGTTCCCTCTATAGCCTGTGCTTTCTCTCTGATTCCCATAACGCCTGTCTCCAATGATAGGCAATAGGTGTTTCTGCTCACCTGTCCTGCGCATCTGCTCCGCTCCCCCACCTGCCCTCTCTACTTCCACTCTGCCTTCCTCCACCAGAGGGTTGAACAGGGCACATTTGCGTAGCCACATTCTTACCTTTTATGGTCAGTTTAGGCTACTTTACAGCTCACCCAAAGAGATAAAACCTAACCCCCTACTCTACTTCTATTTTTCTAATGATTAAAAACGTCACTTTTGTAGTTTAAAGAAATCTTTCTTGTTTCACATAAATAAGAAATGGAAATTGCCTTTTTATGTAGAAGGTAGAAGATTCCCTCTATTTTGGTTTTTTTTCCTTAGCTTGTGAAAGATTTTGTGTAAGAAATGTGCTTACATTTGGTATTTTATTTTTAGTAGCAGCTGAAAGAATTTGAGCTTTAGTTTCTCTTTTCTCTCTCTCCTCTCCTCTCCTCTTCTCTTCTCTTCTCTTCTCTTCTCTCTCTCTCTCTCTCTCTCTCTCTCTCTCTCTCTCTCTCTCTTATCATCATCATCTACATCATCACTGGAGCCTGTACTTAAGAGGGATTATGCCCACTCCATGCCCATCCCGTATCAGATTCAGGATTTGGTGGCATTAGCCTGTGCTATCATTCCCTGTAAGCCCCTCTGCCTGGCCTCATTTGTGGTGGGAAATGGCCTTGTTCAATTTGCAGCATGTGAGAGCTGTATCATGACCACAGTGGTCCTGCAGCCACGTAGGCATCCCTCCAACGGGCAGAGCAGGCTCAGACATCTGAGCTCTGGAGGAGGGGTTGGCTGGTGACCTCTGCATTCTTCTTTCTGCTCCACTGTCTCAGATCTTGATCTTGCTGATTCTTCTAGTGTCCAGTAACCATGAGCCACAGCTGACCCTACCTGTCCCTTCAAAGGTTGGTTGCTTGTTACTCAGGCAGACTGTGTGGCCCTAAGAAGACAAAAATACAGTAATTGAGCAATGAGAAAAGAAGGCTTTCATGTATAAGGGCAGACATGAGGTCATGGGCAGCCTGTCCATTGCAGCCAAGCTCATTGGGGTTTGAGGTATCTGGAGGTAGCCTGGCAGGAAACCCACTTTTCTGAATGAGGAGGGAGAACAAAAAGGAAATATCTAGCCCCATCCTTAGTGCATTAAGGATTTTGTTTTGTTCCTGTCTACCATTGCTTCGCATAGCTCTCTCCAGATGGCAGGGCTTTTTTCCTGGGACACTGTTCTTCTTGAACATAATCTATAACTGGAGACAGTGCTCAAGACCTTGTCCTTCATTCCTGGCTTGGAGGAATAAAGGGAACTAACCAATGGCCTTTTCAGGACAAACTGGTGTCAACAGAACAGATTGGTTCCAGATAATTAGTGGATATGTGCTCACTTTTTGTCCAAAGTTTAAGCCCAGTGTATCTCTACGTTTGTTTTCCCCGTGGGGCAAGCAGTCCCAAGGGCCAGTCAGTAATTCATCTTCAGCTTTTCAGCAGATACTGTCACCTGAACTCAAGTTTTGTGGAATTTGAGACTATAAGGAAAACCAAATCATAAAAAATTTTTTTCTCATTCTGCTTTCTATTGTGTAAATAGGTCTTCCCTCTTTCCTTCCTTTACCCTGGTAAAGGAAAGATCTTACAAAGATTCAGAGATCAAGCAAGTTTTAACTGAATGAGACCTGAGGAAGCCCCTTCCCCCAGAATGGTTCTTTTCCCAGTGCTCAACTTGGCATTAGAGATGGATACTGGAAGAGAGCGTTCTATAAAAGTCTGACAGCTAAACTAAATTGCTCCTTTTTGGCAGGAAGTGGGGGTGGAACTTGACATTGGTGTAGGCATAACTGGATAACCTTTTGATAAATATAAATGATTTTGATTTGGAGACCTTACCTGTAGATTGGGAAAACATTGTTCAGTTTGACTTATCTGCAAACCAACTGTACATACCAGATCCTTTTCCCTTTTTAATCCCCCCATTAGGCTTGGTTACTGTAAGCTGGCTATGAATCTTACATACCTATAGAACAGGGATGTTGAACTGATTCCTCTTTGTTCTGGTATTGAGTCAGTGTCCAGCATTTATGTCACAAGTATCCTCTTTGTTCTGGTATTGAGTCAGTGTCCAGCATTTATGTCACAAGTATTTTACTAAAATGCTTTCTCCTCATTTCATAGGCCCTCCCACTTGTGACCTTGGACAAAGCAAAAACATAGGCAGAATCAGAGGCTGCCCTGGGCCAGCCCTGTGAAAATATATGGCGTCTGAGGTGTGCATGTGAGTGAAGTCCATAAATTTGGACACATGCCATCCCATCTCCCAAGTAGGTGCAGGCCATCCCTGCTGACTGGGGCAATGCCCCAGGGATGTGGAGGCAACAGAGAAAGTCCTCAGCCACTGCTTTGTGTGCCACTGATCACTAGTTGGTTTCTGTTGAGTCCAATCTGGGAGAAATGTGGACTAGAGGCTCAGAGTCCTGCCTGCAGCCTGGTATGACTACAGTACCCTAGGGAGGGCAGCTTTATTGACCTCTTTCTTCTCAGACAAATGGACAGTGTGATATGATAAGCCATCCTGGAAGCCAGGTGTAGTAGAGAGGTGAGGCAGTAAAGCAGGGCTGGAAGGAGCCAGAGGCAGATGTCAGGTCATTGATGCATTTAGTTACTTCTGGGAGTTTCAGTTTTACTAAGGAACAGTATAGCCCCTCTCCTAGGCCCTAGCAATCTGGAGAATAAAAGGGACTGAGAATACTTCATTTAATCAAAAACTATTCCCAAGATCTATGCACTAGGTCTGTGTCTCCCTCTTTCTCTCTGTCTCTGACACATGCATTCCACCCACCCCATACTTTGTGTCTCAGATGTGCCTTATCGAAGAATTCAGGATGACTGAGGACTCTGTTGTCCCTGGGGGATGTTATATAAAGAGTGTTAGACTGGGGTGAGTGTAGGGTAAAGAATTTTTTGCAGAGATTCAAAAGTGGTTTCCTAAAAGTGAGCCATTATCAGATCTGCACATCAGGAGAAAAGAAATTGGGTTATATCCATTAGGAAAATCTCATTTTGTAAAGGTGCAATCGCATCAACAACAGGCAGCCAGGATGAAAGGTATTATAAATCCTCACAGCAGAGCATTTTTGTAGTACAAAGGAATCTGGTCCATTGGAAGATCAGTGCTTCTGGCCTCTGAATCCAAAGGGTGAGCACTTACCACAGCAGGCAGAAACTCGGTGTCTTCTTATTATGGGCAACATAAAATCCTCGTGTGTTTTATTCTGTCTTGGTGTCTAGAAGGAAGGGACATTTGGTGTTGGGCATTGTGCTCAGTGAGTTGGAAGTCATTTAATGTTACAGATGCAGAAAGCAAGCGTGGCCAGTCACCATGAGGTGGGTGGATCACTGAGTGACCTGGGGTTGGAACAGTTTGTGGCGCAGATGAAGCAGACCCCTCTCTGAGGACAGCTGTTAACTCTTCCAGCTTGCTGGGCAGGGAACACAGTTCCAACCTGCTGTGCTAGCCCTGCTGTGCAGTGCTCAGTTCCTCGCCTCCTGCTGGAGTGCTCCATCAGTGCTGTCCTTTGTCTTTGTCATCCCATCTTCTGTGAGCTTCAGCTTTCAGGCTTTCCCTCAGGGAAAAGGGACCCCAGGGGTTTCAGCTGTTTCTCTGCCATTTTGCCCACCGACTGGGTGAAAACATGAACTCCATGCACCCATGGCCTTCACTGCTTAGAAAATCTCCCTCTCAGATAAAAGCGCTGTGTGAGTCTATGGAAGACACCAGCACTCTGACACACTGTGAGTGATCCTTTTACATGATATGAGCAGACCCCGGACTGTAATCATCAATGAGCTTTAATGTCTGTACTTACAGCCCGGTTTTCCTCTCTTTTGTAACATCTTATATGGATCAGCAGTGTTTAAATTTAAGTTCTATGTGAGTCTATTATCTGTTCTATTGTGCTGTTTTTTTTATGGCCTTTTGGTCTTTATCATAGCTAGGTGAATATCCCCCAAAATGCTTTGTAGAACACTTGTACTTAGTTTGAAAACAATAAATTGTAATCTTAATGCATTTGTATTTTCATTTCCTGCAAATAAATATTTTTTCTTAAATAGGAAAATGGTGCCCAGTTTTTAAAATCCCTGTAATGTGTTTTTAAAAGCATTGGTCTTTCTTCTGAGCATGAGTTTAAGTATGTGTGCCTAATGATTCTTATCTGATTATCTAGTCAAACTGAAAGAAATCAAACTAGAAATGTGTTTGTTATGTGGTACTAAATCCAAGGTTGAAATGGAAGACTACTGAGAAATACAATCTTTTTTCAGTGACAGGAAGAGAAACAGGTTTCTCTGGAGATTCACACAGCCTGGCTGCTGTTTGTGTTGTCTCCTATAACTATTCCTTAACTAGATTTCAAGTCTGTGGATTTGATTTTGCTTTCTCTGTCTCTGGATGCTTGAGAATGATGCTTTGGACTTAAGCCAGAAAGAAATGTTCGCCCTTCTGTGTGTGAACAGTTGTGGAGGAGGCCTAACACAGTTTCATGCTCCAGAAATTCTGATGAAATGGTTGATAAAGGTCAATGCACTCAAGCACAATAATCTCTACTCCATTGCACTCTCTGGATCCAAATGTAATTTTCTCCACACACAGAAAGTGGGGGCTGCATTTAGTCTCACAAGAGTGCCCCATAAGGTCAGAGTCTCAGGCCATCGACCGTGTTAACCTGTAGAAAGCAAAACAAAAGTTTGTTTTTCTCTTAGCAGCATACCTAATTCATCCTCGGACTTGGGAGTGCATTAATCTCTCACATCCTTTCCCCTTGAGTCATTTGCCCTTCTCTTCTGCTCCTACACAAGCGTCTTATAGAAACCTCTGCCCAACCTGCTGATAATGTATGCATTTATGGGGGAAGCATGTAGACACTGATTTGAGAACATTGTTAGTTATGCCTTTCTGTTTTCTCTACTTCTAATGTTATGACATCTAAAACCTTGGTACACCTAGAGGGAATACTCTTGCCAGGGCCCCAAATCCCTGATGCATTTGTCAGTTTTTCCATCACTGAGGTATAATACTTGACATCCACAATTTAATGAAGGAGGAGGTTAGTTAATAATTTATCTCACAGTTTTAGGGGATTCAGTCCATGGTCAGTTGGCTCCTAGGCAGAAACATCATGGCAGAAGGACATGGCACAGCAAAGCTACTCAGATCTGGACAACCGGAAGGAAAAGTAGGGGCCTGAGAGGAAGGAGCCAGGGACCAGATGCAGTATGTGAGGTCATGCCACCATGACCCATCAAAGCATACCCAGAGTGTGCCTCACTAATGCCCTATGTGTCTCCCAGGCCAGGCAAGTGACACAGTGAAACTGGTTTACAAGCACATCTTTTGTATGGCAATAAGCTTGTCAAGAGCCCACACCAAACCACCTCTTGTATGAGTGCTCACCTTGTGGGCCATTACCCTTCTACCCTCATCATGACAGGGACAGATACCAACCACCTGGAGATACAGTCCCTATATTGCAGGTCATGGTGAAATCTTTCAACCTAACCAATCATAAGCCTGCTTGCCTTGCCTTGATTTTTCCTGTATAAACCATAATACTGTTTTTGCTCATGTTTACCCTCCCTCTGCCTACTGGCTGACTCAAGACCTCCCTCTTTGCTCTTGTGTGACAACAGTTAGGAATGAGTCATCCTTTTCAATGGCAGTTATCTCTTGATCTTTTGGCCATATGTGGACAATAACATAACCCATATTTTAAAACCCATTCCCTGGCATTCATACAACAAATTAGTGGCTGTTCCCAGACCTTTGGGCACTGGGCATTTCGCAGATGGGTTCAATATGATTTAGGCAAACATAATACAGACTTACTGCTTCACTTCACACTGTGGATCACTTTTGTTCCAGAGAGGAAAAGTGAGACTTAAGGGAGCAGTGTGACTTGTCCCTGGGAAAAGAAAACAGGTGTTGAAATCCCTCATTCTGTGCCTATGTTCCAGGCTAAAGCATACCAGACAACTCTGAAATTGAGGCTCTAGAGGCAAGAAAACACAGAGGTGTGGTGAAAGCAGAACAAGAGGGATTCGGAAGATGAAAGTTAATGTGTTTATGCTCTCAGTTTGCCATTAACTTTCTAGCCTTGAGGGAAAAGAAGACACTTCTATCCTTTGCTTTCACATATGAGATGTGGCTGAAAAATACAGTGAATATTTTTTTAAATCTATTACAGTAGAAGATATGTTGCCATTAATCCCCCACAGAAAAATCCTCCCAACACACTTCTTTCATCTTTCTTGCTACTTTTTGAAGCAGTTCTGGAAGTTTTTAATGTCTTCTATGAGATATGATAAAAAATGCAGTGAATGCTTCTGCTGAATACCATTCAGTGGACAGGTAGGCTTGTAAAAGCAGAGTGTGTTCTTGTTCACTTTATTCATTAGATCTGTCACCATGTGACTTCTGGCTTGTGTCCAAAATAAAAGTGGCCATGAAAGATAAATGTCGGATTAATTTCAGGACATCAAGACAGCCATGGCAGTGCAATGAAAGACACTCACAAATGACTCCTTGCAGAGCTGCTTCAGAAAAGGCAATAACAGTGGGAATATATTCCAAGTCAGGGTGGGAAGTAGTTGGAGGGGGATTAATGGCAATGTATCTGTTACTACAATAAAATTTTTAAACATAAACATTCACCTTATTATTGAATCACATCTCATGTTACCTGTGATCTTTCATTGTTTCTTCCAAAGCTTTACAGCTGTTATGCAGTTATCTTCTTTCACAGCTGATGAACCTTGGGCTCAGAAAAACTAAGAAACCTATTCAAGGACATACAGCAAGTTAGCTGCAGAGGTGTTGGTGTCCAGGTCTTTGAGCAGTGTTGCACTGGGTTTTAAAACTTGAGGATTTTGAGTTGTGAACTGGAGGTTTCAAGCCCTCAGCTCAGGCACAAGTGTTTCTAGTTTGATAAGCATGGGCTATTGCAAACATTTAAAAACCATTGGTTAACTTTTCAATATTTAGGGAGTTTTTTAAAAAATAAAATTCAAGATTTCCTTCTCTGGAAAGACTACAACTTTAGGGCTGGAGATTTAGCTTAGTGGCATAAGTGCCTGCCTGGCAAGTACAAGGTTGTGAGTTTCATCCCCCGGTACCAAAAAAAAAAGATGCAACTTGAGAAGCTGAGTAGCTGTGGCCCGTGGACACTGGGGCATATCCAGATGGCCATATTTTCCCATTCCTATGCTGTTTTACACATTTCTGTGAATTTCCAGGTCCTTTTGTCCTCTCAGTTCGCAACCTCTGGACTAGATGTTGGCTGGCCTACTTAGGGGTCACAAGAAAGGAGTAAAGGAAAAGGTCCAGTGTTGGTGGCAGAGCAGGAAGTGTGGAAAGCAACTGGTTTCATCTTGAGTGACAGGAAATAAGAAGCCTGACATGTAGCTGGGCTGTGAGTTGTGTAGGGCTTTGTACATCCACACCCACTGCTCCTGATCCGTGACATGAACAAGAACTGCAGTCTATGATCTGTTTTTCCTGTACCCAGAAATACATCCCATTGATCTCAAAAATTGTCTTTAAAAATTCTGGTGATCTCATCTGTGTAAGGCAATAACTGGTCCATATTTGTTGCAACACTCAGCAGGTACATGGAGCTCTTTTACTTCTTATTTGTGGTCATCGTTGTCATCGTTGCTTAGCAGAGAAAACAGAGCCTTAGAGGTGTGACCCGCTCCAACTAGGTTATGCAATAAGTACGAAGCAGAATCACAAACCAGCCACTCTGGCTTCCATTAGACCACATTTCCCTGAAAATAAGATCTAACAGCTTGGACAATGAGAATTCAAAAATTCCAACCCCAATCAGTCTATTCTTCCCTTACCCTTCATTGCAGAGGGGCCACGGAGCAAGAGAATAGCGAGGTATAATCTTCTGCAGGACACTGACCATCACCACAGTGACTTATTTTGGGGGAAATGCTATAGTATCATTTCCATTAGCTATGCCCCAAATGATCAGGGGACTCAAGCCATCCCAGTCATCTGTGACCCTCTATAGAATTGCATATGTCCCTGCAATGAAGCTGTTTGGTCAGATGCTTTTGATGGCACCTTTTTTCTCAGTATTCTCAGTAGTATTGAGTTTTGATCCAGGATCTGAGACACCTTCCAAAATGCCTGTCTTTATAACCAGGAAAAAGAAGAATGATGGCTTATCTAAATCATTTCCTGCAAAGCGATCCATGTCATCAGTGCAGTGGCTGGTTGTACTCAGGCGCTCAACACTTGATGGACAGGCAGCAGAGAGTGACGCTGTCCCACTAGGTGTGGCTGTTGCTGGATCTATTGGCAATTTTAAAGCTGAGTTCTGGCCCCATGAGGAGGTCTTAGGTTCTCCCCCTTCCTCTAGGCTGTTGTTTTAGATGAGGAAACAAAAATATCCACTGAAGAATACCATGTGACCTGCCAGAGATACTGTGGTGCTGTTCCCTGAGAAATCTGTTGCAAAATGTTTAATGCTTCTTAAATGAAAACTATTTGGGACTTAGGGCTGCCAGCACAATTCTAATTAATGCCCTTGCACAGTACTACAAAACAGATGGCAAGTTTGTTTCTGGGTAGGTTTCTCCATGTCTGGGCTGGTTCAAAGAAAAAGTAGACCCCAAAAGGACAAATTGTAAGTATGAATCCACTTATCTAAATAGTGATGGTTGGAACAGAAAAGGAGCCCTTCGTCTCCCCAATATTGCTTCTCTTAGTTTCCATCTAAGTGCTTTTAATGAATGATCATAAATAATACATGCAACCTGCGTAATGAGATGGTTACATTATAAATGGATGCAGAAGAAAAAGCCCAATTGACGTGATGTTTGCCACATCACAGTAATAATTTCACTTGATAGTCCACCAGGGCAGTGCCTGTCTGGAGCTGTGAGTACAACTGAGTAGAAGAAAAAGTGGTTGAGAATTTGGGAGCACAATGTATCACATAATCAAGGAAAAGAAAACCAGAAAGAGTGCTGTTGGTAACACTTACAAATGTTCCTGCAATACAATTAGACTGAAAACATGATGGCAATGATATTGGACATAGTTTTCTAA